ACCTGGCTGCAGCTCCACCATAACTCCAGGTGGGGCAGGGGGCCGGGGCTCACTGCTCAAAGCAGCTCCTGGTTGGAGAGAGGGAAGGGAGGTGGCAGTGGGGAGGCAGCGAGTTGCTCTTTCTCCAGGTCGTGCAGAGTTGGCACTGCCCAACTGCCCGCAGCAGAGGGGATCGGGACACTCAGGAAAGGCAGGAACAGGAGCAGCCACCACTCTCACTACACTCATCGCATGCCTGGTGCTGTGCTACGCACGTTTCATACATTATTGTTGCTCTAGTCTCCACAGGCCTCTTTTGAAATCGGCATTAATGGAAACCCATTTTACAGATGGGAATACTGAGGTCTACAAAGTGACTTAACCAAGTCCACTCAGCTAGCAATTGGCAGAGCTGGGATTCAAATCCAGTGCGCTGGGCCCCCTTTGCTGTCTCACGGTGCCAGGCAGCCACATGGGGGAATCTCCAGGTCACAGGGAGGGGAACAGAGCTACCTGCGGCTCCCTTTGGACGAGGGCCTCGGGCCACTGCTGCTCTGCCCTGGATGGCTATGGGGGACACAGACGCCGCAAGCCCCTGAGAATACATACCCACTGCTCCCGCCCCTGCTCCAGGATAAACCGTGGGAGTACCCGTTTCCCTGGAGAGCCTCCTGCCTGCTGTGCTGTCGGGAAGTCTCTTGGGTCTCCCTGTCGCACTGAGTTCCTGCTTCCTTGTGGAATGGCTCAGGGTTTGATGTTGGGTAAGATGTGTTTTCTCCCATTTCTCCCCTTTTGCCATCTCCCAACTCCAAACAGCACAACAGTATCCCGAGCTGACAGAGTTACTGGGCCCGGGGTGCTCTCTTCAGCTCAGGGCATTTCCCTGCAAGATGATCCCTGCTCAGCTCTCACATTACCTCCTGCCCCCGCCAGCACATCTGCTGCCGCCCTGCAGCCTGGTCTCGGGAGAGGGTGGGCACCATGGCGGGAAACAGTTGCAGCTGAACTTCAGACAGGGCGCTGGGCTCCAGGACAGCCCTCCTCCCCACCCCTCGCCCTCATTCCCACTTCCCTTTCCCACAGGGGGCCGCCACCGTCTGCTGCCTCAGGCACGTGCTGGACACACAGACAGTCTGCAGGGCTGGTCAGGGGGCACCAAAGCCTACATGCACCCCCCTTCTCAGACGCCCAGAGTGCGCCACCTTTCCCCTCCAAGGACGCCTCTCTCCAATATTCGTGCAAGAAGCAAAGGCGCTAAGTTAGTAGCTGAAAACCTGTCTCTGAGGTCCCTCCCCACCACGCGGGTCCGAGAGCCGGGCGAGCCAGCCCAGTGAGTCAGTCTTCAGAGGCTGAGGAGAGAAGACAGCCTCCCCAGGGAAGCACCTCCCGCGGGGATGCAGGCCCCGTCACAGCCAAGGGCAGAGCACAGGAAGGAAGCCCGTCCAGGCCTCTTGCCCCTCCGGGACCTGGCAGTCCGTCGGGGGAAGGAGCTGCTCGGGCACATCCCTCTCTCCTCCCAGGGTCACCCTCGCTGACCCCGACGCGAACACAGACATCACCACTGAGGCTCAGAGTCACTCACCGAACCCTCGTTGGGAAGAGAGGCAACCTGTTCTATGAGGATATATACTTGACGTGTGACCCCAGTCGCATGGCGACCCACAGACAGCAGCGCATACACCTCCTACCCCAGGCCCCACGGCCACGCAGGGAATGTGGATAACCAACACAAGTATACAGCGTACACAAGTATACAAGATATACAGAGTACACAAGTATACAAGATATACAGCGTACACAAGTATACAAGATATACAGAGTACACAAGTATACAAGGTATACAGAGTACACAAGTGTACAAGATATACAGAGTACACAAGTATACAAAGCCTACACTCTGCCCACTCTACACTGGTGGTGAGACCGTATGGAAACATTACAACTACACCCCACAGCTGGCTGCCGTGCATTCTAGCCTGGCACACGCTAACATCCAAGTTAAAAAAATATCAGAGCAGGTGAACCTACAGATGCCCCTCTCCCAGGGAGGAGCCGTTCAATTTACCAGACTAACCAGGAAAGACACGCTCAGGAAAAATCGAAGGGACATTCACACCTCCCTTGGGTGTTTTTTGTTTGTGATGAACAATGAACATTAGTCAGCTGATAAGCAATGGCAGTATCACAGACACAGCAGCTGGGGTTCACCCTCGGCCCCCGGCCCGGCCCCCTGCCTTGGCCATCACACAGGGTCCTGGCCTGTGGGACCAGCCGGGCCCCCTGACTTGGCCATTGCACAGGGTGCTGGCCTGTGGGACCAGCCGGGCCCCCTGACTTGGCCATCGCACAGGGTCCTGGCTGTGGGACCAGCCTGCTGGCACACACCGGGGTCAGACAGTGGCCGCGTGCAGCACTGAGAAATGGGGAGAGGAAAGTGAGCCAACACCCTGACACCCCACGTTTCAAAGGAGCCCCCAGGACAGTGAGCTCTGCCCAGCTGCGGAGAAGGGGCAGGCTGTGGCCAGAAGGCCTTCTGAGGGTATGCATGACACCTGGCAGTGTTTTCCTTCCAGACAAAAGGTTTGGGGAAGCCAATTAGGGAGGGTGTGGTACAGGTGGGACACCAACGCTGCACCTGCTCCTAAGGCGGGCTCTCTGCCTCCTCCGGGCTCTCGGGTCCCTCTTGGGTGGAGCCCGCTGGCTCTCCTGTAGGGAGACTGTCCTCAGCCGGTGGGACTCCACCCCCACCCGGCAAAGTCGGGCCGTTGGAAATGTCCTTCTGTGTTGACACTCCAGTGGCCAGACCGGGGATGTTTTGAAGTCAGGGGCCAGCCCTCCACCCGCCGCTCCCTGAGCCCCTCCCCCTGGGAGGGTCCTCTCCTCACCCCTCCAGGCTCAGGAGACCCCAGAAAAGACCCGGGCTGGGCTGCTGAGTCCCTGAGAGAAGCAGCAGCAGGCAGTCAGGAAGGGCTGGGCGTGGTGGAGTGGGCAGAGGGGGCAAGGTCTGGACCTGCGGGCCTCAGTCCAAGTGTCAGGAGGGCCCTGCACATCCACACCCCTTCCCAGGGGCCAGGGCCCAGGCACGGGTGAGGAGCGGCTGAGCCCAGGCACTTCGCAGCCATAAAATGACAACCAGGCCCGGAGCCCGAGAGCTCAGTAAGCGCTCTTCTGGCCCCGGTTCCTTCTCTGCATCCCACCCCTCCATCTGGATTTTTAGTGTGTGGGGGGGAGTGTCCCTGCTCGAACCTGTGACACTGTCCCCTCTCTGCTCCTCCTTCCTGAGTTGGGTGGAGCAGCAGGGCAGGCCTCCAAGCCCCCAAAGCAGGAATTACTCACTAGGCACCCCAAGTCTGGGGGAAGACATAACCAAAGGAGGGGAGCATGGGGGTGAGTGGTTCCCCCTCCCCTTAGGGGACCCAAGGTTAGGGTACCCCTAGTGTGCCAGACCCACTGGCGCCCCAGGGGTCTCCTCTGGCTGGGCTCGGGTGGGCGATATGGGGGGAAGGGTTCCCAGGGTCGGGGGAATTTCCTGGCTGCTCCCCAAGGAGGCTCAGTGTGAGAAACGACCCTCATTCCCTCCAAGGGAGCGGGGAGATGGGGGCTCCATCAAGCCCCTGAATGGGCAGAAACACCTACCTATACGTCCAGGAATCTCCCCTCCCCCCACCTAGCAGGGAGCACCCACAGGCCCAGGAGTGGGGGCACCGGCCTCCACAAAGCGCTTTAGGTGCCACTGGCCACTCCCCGAGGTTGTGAGGCTCGGGCAGGGAGCAGGCGGGGACGAGGCACAGACAGGAATGGCGCGGGTTCCTGCCTTCCCGGAGGGTACCCCAGGCCCGAGGTCGGCGGCCAGGCTGGGCCCCGGGAACCACCTGCCCCTCGGGAATCTCGCCTCGGTGGCGGCCAGCGGCGCCCGCGATCTCAATTCTCGCCCCCGGGGAGCTGATCGCTACTCCGACCCATCATTCTGCCAGCCTAAGGCCACGGCCACGTGCCCCGGCCAAACCCGCCCCCTGCCCCCAACGCCCATCCAGCCACAGAGGGGGTGTCTCCGGGTTCCTCCCGGGGAACCCCCACCCCCCGGCGCTGGAGTCCCAGCCACCCCGGGAGGCGCGCGGCTTCCCCAGGGACGCGAAGGGTTAAATCCAGGCGCGCGGACTCGGTGGGATAGGCTCCTAAACGCATTTTCCAGTCCATTCCCGGCACT